TGCAATTTATGTTTTTGAGTAGTAACCAAACCTCACTTGTTGTCTGGAGCTATATAAATGAACTCAACTTTAATGAACAAATATATTATATATATTTTTGTTTATTTTAAATTTATTTTTATTTATAATATTTTAAAAATATATTATATTCGTTTATTTAAAATTAAATATTTAAAATATATTCGTTTAATATTCACAAATATGTTTATTAGTGTTCATGAACGTAATAAATGAACATATTTAATAACATTAAACGAATAAATTTATGAACATATAATTAAACATGTCTATAATAATTAAAATTGTATTCATGAGTAATAAATAAAAAAATTAAATGAATATATTGTTATTTTAAAATAAAATAAGCACAAATATTATAAAAACAACAAAAACACATATTTTTAAAATTTTCTTTATAGAAAAACATTTTAAAATTTATTCTATAAATAGTTTTAGTAAATTTATCTGTGTATATAAATAGATTAAATACATTTATATCCAAACTCATTTATTTAATAAATAAATATAAAACTTTTATTAATACCAATTAACATAAATAAGAGGTTACGAGTCCATTCTTAGATTGAAGACGTTGAATTCAGATATTGAGAAATTTGACTAGTTTTGGATTGTTTATGGTATAAATTTGACTATTTATAAATTAATTTTAATAATTTTGATTATCGTAGATGTTGATGGACTATTTTAGGGATTAAATTTGATCAAGCTAATTTAATTTTATTTTATAAAAGAAAATTGAATTAACAAAGGTTGAAGATTCCAAGAAACTTGTATATTTATAAAATCAAAAATAACATCTAAACAAAATACATATATCCATGAAACACTGAGATAAAAATAACAGAAAATGCTGGAAAAGAATGCAAGTAAAAAAAATAACGACACAAATACTAATGCGGTCAGTACCGGACATAAGTCCGGGCAATGTGGCATCTTACTGCTGTTGTTGTTCCGAGTTCCGCCTCTTTAACTCCTCCGAACCGACATCAAGCTTGGTGTTTATCTTCCGGCATTGCTCCGGGCAGATACCGCGGGAATAATATTGAAACGGATTATTAGCTTGCCCTTCTCGGAAGGTCTCTTATGCATCATCGATAATCTTGTATTGACCTACATTTTCAAGCAAGGGGAGATAAGACGAGTGAATATGATGTCGACTTCGAATGTAGTTCTATATGTGCATAAAGAAATTACCAGGTTTAATGACCTCTCCCGGTTTGGATTTAATCAAGATCTCTCTGCCATCAAGGTGAGTCAGGGCAAACTCAAACCCACATGCAGCCTCTGTCAAACTGAGATTACAGTCTACTTGAAGATCATCCATCATCCTCACAAATGTGGGGTGTCTCTTGTGTTCCAAGAAAACAAAAATGTCTCCGGTTCCCGTGTCTGGCTGCAAATGACAAGAACAAAACCATTGCCAAGCTTGAAATCTGAGAACACTGTTACTTATAAAAGGGGCTTCCTTCACTTACAGCCTCATCAGCTTGTCGCTTGAATGTAATTTTCTGACCATGTTGCATTCCTTTCTCAATACGTACTTTCAGTTTCTTCTTTTGTTGAGTAACCTTGTTTCCTTTGCACTGGGGGCATATACCTAAATCAATGTAGACCTTACCTGCAAGCAAGGAAAATGAAATCCTGCGTTCATAATTCCTACATACAATGTGTACTAAACCCAAAGAAAACAATTTTATATACCTGAACCTCTGCATTCAGGACAAGCAGCCCCAGCAAGTAAAGGGATAAGGCCCTCCCATTCTATAACTTTATATCTTAAGCCCCGGCAAGCAGGACATTTAGAGAAGGTTCCCTTTCTACCTTTCCTGAAATTGTTCGGAATGCAAGTGCATAAAATGTAATTAGACCAGTCACAAACGTAATCAAACGAGCTTATAAACAGTTCATCGAATGTTCGGCTCATTTAATCCCTTAATCCAAACTCACATAAGTAGCCGTGATGATAGACGTACCCTCTACATTTACCGCATAGTACGTTCCTGGGAACAGAGAATTTTTTGGTTGCCCCATTGTACAAATCTTCCAGAGATACTTCAAGAGGATGCACAACATCTATACCTCGCTTCTTCATTCTTCCTTCCCATTCGCATTAAAAAGGACGCGTGATTGAAAAATGGCAACAAAATTACCCTACCATAACAAGACTCGTGATTGAAAAATACAAGAAAAACAAAACCATCTGTTACCAGAAAAATTCGGATCGTCGTCAGAAGAAGCGTCTTCTCCTATTTCCTCTGTAGGATCTTCGTGACGGTATAGATCATAAATTTTTCTCATCTCTGGGTCACTAAGAACTTCATAAGCCTCAGTCAATTCCTTAAACTGGGAAGCGGTATAAAAAATATTAGTGTTAGAATGGGGAAAACAAGTAAAACCCATGCAATTCCTTATAATTTTAAGGTTACCTTCTCAGCGTCTCCACCTTTATCAGGATGATTCTTCATTCTTATAAGCCTTCTTTATTTCATCCTGAGTTGCAGTTTTTGGAACACCGAGTACTTTATAATATTTGGCCCTGGACCGGATGTCAGAGTACCTTGGAATGCGCTCACACATGATTAAATCACTTGAGCTATCTGCGTTAAAAGCTAAGATACTCACAGGTTAGGGTTTTGGGGGAAGACATAAGGCATGCAGCAATCCCCAGTTCAAGACTAAAACAAAAACCCTAACTCAAACCAATATAATCCAAAAGCTGTGATCTTTTTTTTTTAATCTCTCTCTGATTCTAAACAATCATAATAAGCACATTAAGCATGCCAAAGCATAAAACGAATGATCCAAAGCAGTCAAGTACTAATCGTAGAATTAAAATACGTACCGGCTAATGTTTTGAGAAAATAAATAAGAAAAACACACAGAAACAAGCACAAGAGTTTGGTTTTTGCGAGGGAAACAACCACCGTTGTAACCGTCAGAAAATTCGGTAATATCCGTCAAAGATATACGTACAAGTCAAATAAAATATATAGAACGTTACCTTCCAAATTCTTTGAAAAACACAATTAATGTAACGATCACGTCGCGATCTCTATTCAATTCACCCGATTGAAACTAATAAAAAGAAATTTGTACAACTTCATTGATAATTGCTAGACCCTTATGCCTTTATATGTATTCTAAAACCTTAATTCCACTATAACTAGGTTTTTGTAACATGTCTATTTTAAATTGAATTCATGTTTTATAAGTATTTAAATACTATTCTCATTTAATTCTTAATTGAATAATTTTAGTATATTTAAATTTCTATATGTTTCCGATATATATTTTAGTTTTAATTAAATTCCTTATTCGTTTACAACAAATTTATATAAGTTAGAATTATAATAAATATTTTATTTTAACAGTTAATTAATAATTTATAATTATAATAATTGTTTTTACTATTATTAAGGCTGAAACTGTAGATACTTTGAGTTTCTTTATGGAAAATTTACATAAAAGCAATATTTGAGTTCTGTCTTAAGCGTAAGAATTTTAAATAATTATTGTAATCCATATGAATTGATAGAGACAATTTTTGTATATTATTTATTTATTTTGTTGTGCTTATTGTCTTTAAGATTTTTATTGTATATAAGACGATTAAGTAGGAAAATTAATTCATCGATTTCCTTATTATTTAAACTAATGATAAATTATATTACAACAAGTGAAAATTCAACCCTTTGATAATTGAGAATGTCCCAAGATCTTGCTGAGACCAAAACTTCTCAAGTCTTTTTTTGTATGTGTTAAAACTCAAGTGAAAATTCAACCATCTTTTGTTTTCCTTTTATTTTGGTAAATTTCACAAAGATCTTCGTTCATCTATCATAATTCAACTCCAGTCCCTTAATTTTTTAAGGGAAAAAAACATATTTCGTTCCAAAAATATAATTGCCAAGCAAAGTTAAGTACTAAGTCGAACAAATCAAGAAACTGGAACAAAGATAGATACAAACAAATCTGATTGCATCGACAAACGAACTACAAAAGGGATCAAGCTATTGAAAGATCACCAACAAATCGTAAATTAGACCCGGACGACGTGAAAAGCTATCCATTAACACAAATCGGGTATCCAAATCTAATCTGATGGTTCAAAGCAAAGAAGACCAACAAGATATCATATAAGTTTCATCTTGATAAGTTGTGGCATCGTCAAATCAATCGTTTGAAGAAAAAAAATAGTCAAACGACCGAAAAACATGCCAAAAGAAAGAAGAAAATGTGCCACAAAGGCATATAAACAGACTCATTGATAATAAAAAATAAAAATAAAAGAAAATATAGATATGATATAAGAAAAGAAAAAGACAAAAATAATATCGACGGTAGACAATCAACATTAAAGTTAATGTCGTCACCGATCAATAAAATCAAAAAAAAAAAAGATGAACGGTATACCAATAAGAGAAAACCATGTTTTTCTAACAAGACCCTCTTTTTGTCATTTGATATTTAGATAAAGATGAATGTTGATTTTTTTTTGCTACACAATGGTATACCTAAGACCCAATTGAAATTTACATAAAACTTTATATATTATTCACCAAGAGTGACGCATAAATTATAAACTTGAATACATTAATATTACCTTCATTTTCGATATATAAACTACCGTTAAAGATCATAGCCTTTTTGTATTATGTAGTCACCGTTAGAACTATTTCAAATAAAGTATGAAAAATGGTAATGTTTTTTTAATTGCAATACAATAAAATATGAAAAATGTTTCCTTCTTCTCCAAACAACATTCTCTTATTTCATCACCTAATACAATAAAATACAGAGCAGGGATTTGCTTTCCATATTTTTATAAATATGGAACATTGTCGTAGTTTCTTGGCAAACCCCGATTTCCACTGGCATAAAGCTAGACACCAAAGCCCTCTGATTCCTTGTAGAAACCCAAAGTTTGAAGCTGCAGCAATGATCCCTCGCAGACAAAAACTTATCAGAACGTGTTGGTTATGAGGCACGGTGACCGTATGGACCACTTCGATCCCACGTGGGCGAAAACGGCGGACAGGCCATGGGACTCACCGCTCGTAGAGAGTGGTTTCGCCAGGGCTTTTCGGACCGGCCGTGCGTTTCCAACCCTCCCGTTCCCAATCCACCGCGTCTTGGTCTCTCCCCTCCTCCGCTGCGTCCAGACCGCCTCCGAAGTTCTCACCTCCCTTTGCGCCGTTGATGATGATCCTAATGCCAGGTCATCACGAGACGTCGTTTCCCTCGACCCATCCAAAGTCAAGGTCAGAATCATAACTCTTCTTTTTCTTCCCTGTAAATGGTTGAGCTCACTTCATAATTGTATTCTACAGGTTTCAATTGAGTACGGGTTGTGTAGCACGTTAAATACACCCGCAACTAGGCTTGATGTTGTGCCCAAAAATGGAATCTTTCCTTTCGATGTTTCCAAGCTTGAAGCTTTGTTTCCAAGTGGAACATTAGATCGTACAGTGGAACCAGTATATAACGAGGTAGTGTTTGACAATTTTGAGCGTAGGCGAGCGTTGTTTTATAAACTTTTTTCACTTCTTTGTCTGAAAATCATAGATGCCGCTATGGAATAAGAGTATGAGACAACTATGGATACGAGGAGTAGAAATGAACAAACGCTAAAGGCACTGGCAGATAAATACCCATCAGAAAACCTGCTACTAGTATCACATTGTAAGCTGCGTGATAGACAACAATATGTTGGCGATTTCATTGATTTTGAATAATTGGGTATATACATTTCATGTGCAAGGGACCGGAGTTGCAGTTTCAGTTTCTGCATTCAAGGAGGACACTCGTGTTACTAAAGTAGCTTATTGGGGTTATTCAGAACTGAGACGACCAGTTTGTTGGGAAAACAAGACATTTACAGCTAGAAACTTTGAGGTTCTCTCAGAAAGTGGCCGGACTAGCGTTACTTACAAGGCAAAGTTGAAACTTTAGTGATTAAACCAGCATGAAGATGACTCTGATTTCAGTCGAAGCATAGCTCGGCCTTCCTCTTGATGTGTCTGTTTTTGGGTTTTCTTTTCTTGTGTTTTTAAGTTTAAACTTTAAACTTAGTATCAGTTTTACGCCATGAAAGTTTCTTGTTCTTCCCCTGAGATGCGGGTTGAGATAATGAAAGTGATGAAGGAGAAGAATTTGTGTTTCTTAGCGAAACTACTGAATCATTGTAAGGTAAAGGTTACATAGTCTTGATGCGCATATGTTCAACTCGTTGTTGCTTTACAATATTCATCATTTAAGATGGAAAGGAAACAAAAATAAAAGACCAGCAGTCAACTTGTCACTTTCTCTTGTATGGGTTTTTTTTTAACTTTTTAATAATGATAAGATGCGGAAAAATTAGTTGAATATTGTGATAAAAAATAAATTATTCAAATAAGTATTAAAAAATATTTTATGATTTAGAATGATTGTTAAAATAATTCAATCGTCTTCTTGAAAATTATAATAATCTCAAGAAAGTGCCTTAATTATATGATGATTTTATAAAATATAGTGACTTTCTGTCCTTCATTTTATTATAAAACAAATGTTTTCTATAACAAAATCCAGAAAATTATATCGAAACAGAGTCTCTAATAACATGCAGAAACAAAACATTGGATGAGAAATTTTAGAAGTAGGCCTTGGAAACTCAATGAGCCCAATTTCATGGAAATATCTTTCAAGTAGAGATACGGAGAGAGCGAGCAAAGTAACAAATCTATTTATGTATTTTCTCGTGAGATCCCAACCTCATTTGCAGGAAAATATCTCACCATAGACACTGTTTCGTTTCCACAAGTAGTCTTTGCAACTTTACAGAAACTGGAACTGCCTCTTACATTCCTTGAGATTTATTTTTAACCGATTTAAAGCATGGGGAGAACGGGTACATTGTGCAACAGCTTCGTACCTTCTTTCCAAACTCCAATCTTCACTCGCATTAGTTCCAGACAAAAAATACCTTTGATTCCTCGAAGAAACATAAACCTTAAAGCCATGGCAATGGCAATGGCTCCCTCGGAGTCCAAAACTTATCAACAAAACCTCTTGGTTATGAGGCACGGTGACCGTCTCGACAACTTCGACCCCACCTGGGAAAAAACGGCCGACAGACCATGGGACCCGCCGCTCATCCAAACAGGTTTATCCCGGGCTTTTCAGACGGGTCGTGCGTTTCATACCCTCCTACCCTTCCCAATCCACCGCGTCTTCGTCTCTCCCTTCCTCCGCTGCGTCCAGACCGCTTCGGAAGTTGTCGCCGCCCTTTGCTCCGTCGATGACGATCCTAATGCCAAGTCTTCACGCGACGTCGTTTCCCTCGATTCATCCAAAGTCAAGGTCAGAATCAAAAACTCTTTATTTTTCTTCTCTGTAAATGGTTGACCTCATTTTCTTCTATTTTACAGGTTTCGATTGATTACGGGTTGTGTGAAATGTTGAACACATTAGCAATTAGGCTTGACGTTGCGCCTAAAGATGGAATCTTCCGTTTCGATATTCCAAAGCTTGAGGCTTTGCTACCAAGTGGAACATTAGATCGTACAGTGGAACCAGTTTATAAAGAGGTAGCGTTTCACCATTTCCAGTGTAGCTAGGCGTTGTTTTATTTGCTTCATTCAGCTTCTTTGTCTGCAAATCACAGATGCCCCAATGGGAAGAGACAGTGATGGATACGCAAAGTAGACATGAACAAATGATTAAGGCATTGGCGGATAAATACCCCTCACAAAACCTGCTACTAGTAACACATTGTAAGCCACATTCTTCGATATTAAACAACAATATGTTGGTGATTTACTTTGTTGTTTTATTGACTTTGATTAACTGGCTATGGCTATCATATGCAAGGGGAAGGAGTTGCAGCTTCAGTGTCTTCGTTCAAGGACACTACTATTACTGAAGTAGCTTATTGTGGTTATTCAGAACTGAGACGACCAGTTTCTTGGAAGAACCAGACATTTACTGCCGGAAACTTTGAGGTGCTTACAAAAAGTGGCCGGACTGGCGTTTCTTATTATCCAAGATAGCAACTTTAGTGATTAAACCATGAAGAATATGACTCTGATTTCATTTGAAGCATGGCTCAGACTTCCTCTTGATGTGTTTTTTTTTCTTCTTTACGTTAAAATTTTCTATCAGTTGTTAATGTCTGTGATTCAACAAATGTTACAGTTTTACTCCATGAAATTATCTTTTCCTTCCCCTGTTTTGTTTGCCAATAGTGTGGATTGAGATAAATGAAACTACGAAAGTGGTGAAGGAAAAGACCTTCTGTTTCTTCATTGGATAACGCCCATTGATACTATTGAATCATTGGCAGTGTAGTCTCGATGCGCATATATACGCTTATCTCTTTGTTGCTTAACAAGTAGGAGGAGAAGGAGAAAAAGAAATACAGCTCAATTCTGCGGCGGTTATACTACACCAAGGTCATCATTTAATTATTTTTTTCCTCCAAACAAGTTATTTCCTCGTTAAATATTAAATAAAACAATGTTGTAAACTGGTTTAATAATGAATTTAGTACTTAAACTTTATATAATTTATCAATTTAGTCTTAAAAAATTCAATAAATTTAACCCTTTAGGGATTTTGATATTTAAGGTTTGATGGGGTGCAGCTACCATGGCCCATATTTGGAGGTTTTTCATGGATGTTCCTCTAGGAAGTTGGCACATCAACTCCTCCAAAAACCGCTACGACGAATTTGCAGGCAATAATGTTGGATATTGAGAGAGATGATGGTATCCCAGCCTGATTTGCAGGAAAATATCTCACTATTTCATAAATATTTGACAGTGCTAAACTAGTCCTTGCAATTTTCCAGAAGCGTTCTCTTCATTTACCTAATGATCATAATTTCTTTAACTAAGATAAAGCATGGGGACATTGTGCAACAGCTTCGTAGCTTCTTTCCAAACCCCAATCGCCACCGGGCACAAAAATACATTTGATTCCTCGTAGACATCTAAAGCTTAAACCCGTCGCAATGGATCCCTCCGATACAAAAACTTCTCAACAAAACGTGTTGGTTATGAGGCACGGTGACCGTCTCGACAACTTCTATCCCACCTGGGAAAAGACGGCCGACAGGCCATGGGACCCACCGCTCGTAGACAGACCGGCCGAGCGTTTCGAACCCTACTGCCGCTCCCAATCCACCGCGTCTTCGTCTCTCCCTTCCTCCGCTGCGTCCAGACCGCTTACGAAGTCGTCTCCGTCCTTTGCGCCGTCGATGACGCTCATAATGCCAAGTCATCACGCGACGTCGTTTCCCTCGACCCATCCAAAGTCAAGGTCAGAATCAGAACTGTTCATTTTCTTCTATGCAAGTGTTTGAACCCATTTGATTGCTATTTACAGGTTTCGATTGAGTACGGATTGTGCGAAATGTTGAATACATTCGCAATCAGGCGTGACGTTGCGCCCAAAGATGGAATCTTTCGTTTCGATGTTCCAAAGCTCGAAGCTTTGCTACCGAGTGGCACACTAGGTCCTACGGTGGAACCAGTTTACAAAGAAGACCCTCAATGGGGAGAGACAGCGATTGGTACGAGGAGTAGATATGAACAAACGATTAAGGCACTGGCGGATAAATACCCATCGGAAAACCTACTACTAGTAACACATGGTAAAGCTAAATTCTTCGATTATTAGACAAGATTATGTTGAATAATTTATTTTTTCATTGACTTTGATGAATTGGATATGCAAGGGGAAGGAGTTTCCGTTTCAGTTTCTTCATTCTTGAGGGACATTACTGTCATTGAAGTAGATTATTGTGCTTATTCAGAATTGAGACGACCCGTTTCTTGGCAAAATGAGTCATTTGCTGCCGGTAAATTTGAGGTGGTTACAAAAAGTGGTCACAATGGTGTTACTTATATTGCAAACTAGCAACTTTAATGACTTGTCATGGATGCTTCTTCTTCCCCGGTTTTGTTTGTTAACAGTGTGGATTGAGAGATGCTGAAAGTGATGAAAGAATGTATGGTGTGAAAGCATCAGTAGGATGAATCTTACTTCCAATCTCATTCTCATTTTCAGATGCCATCGATATATCCATTAATTCATCCTAACATTAAGGCTATGCTCTGATATGGTGTGTGTACAGTGTATGTATGTTCGCATGAATGCATGTAGTTTGAGAACTAAAAATAGGTGGTACATCAGCCAATTGCAACAGAATGAATCAGTAAAAAATAGCAAACCTCCATTTACAAAAAAATTATTTATGGCAGATAATACATGCAGCTATAGTAAAATCATTAATAACTCACGGAACGTGGTTTAGGATTTATTATGAGTTTCAAGATATATCAACAAACACTGCATTTGTGACATAGATGCACTTAGTATTTACTCTATATGCTACATAATCTTTGTGAATACTATGTATACCATGATAATCTCTTGCACCGTTCTCAAAAGCAAATAATGTTGGATATTCATGCATCTCTAGTTGAAACAATTTATGTACTTCGGTTAACTAAACATGTTAACTAATTCCAAGGATAGAGGTAATTAGTTCTTTAGGCGATCTAATTGGCATGATAAACACATTTTTATGGTGAAACTCATATCAAGTAAATATTAGTTGCACATCATGTTGCCAGAAATTAGTATCATTCATATATGACTGATGAGACTCTATAGCTGGAAAACTAGTTTAAGGAGAACCTATAATGGCAATGAAGAGAAAATCAGACTAATCAAACCTCCAATTATTTGAGTCATGGTCTCTGTAACTGCGATATTTCTAATAATAAGCCGTAAAAGACTGCTTCACTAAGGCTTAATCGGGAGCAATTTTTTCCTCAGAGGGAAGATACAAGCAAACACTTGGACAAAGATGCAGCATGGAGGTCAATCACAAAATGTGTGCTCCTAACTACAATTCGCTCATCACTAACATGTTCTCCAATCAATCAACCACTAGTAAACTAACTACTTTTTACCCAACGCATGTATAGTAGACAGAACAAAAGAACTAACTAATAAAGAATGAAGTACACATCAAGCACAAATATGCATTTTGGATCAATGAATGGTTAGTATGATCTAACATTACACAAGTTCATGAACAGCTAAAAAGTATTCATGATCGAAGGACTAAAAGATCTCCAGAAAAAGCGATTTCATATTTCACAAACTGAAACAATTGAAACCCTATTTATGAGAAACTGGTAAGTCATATTTACAATCTGCAACTGTAACTACCTGACAGGATTCAGATACAACTGTCCCTCAAAATCTAAGTTCTAACCTTGCTATGGATTAGACAAAAAAGCATAAAAAGAAGATACATTTGTTACCATTTGATCTCTACAAGCTCATTTTACAGCTACATGAACAAAGTTTAGCAGTCCCCTTTATCCCCTCAACCTTCCAAATTCACAGTTTTGGCAGCAGTCCCGTCTAGCCCTGCAATCACCAAATCAAATCTTTACTCAAAATCAATTGACAACGTAAGTAAAAAGGTTAAACATTTTAAATAGCCAAAAGAATCACATGTATTAGACCTTTGCATGAGCCTCTGAGACTCTATAACAATCCGGCGTTATCGAAGCTAACCACAATCCAGGAAACACGCACTGTAAAGGATTCATAAATAGTTAGGAACAATTCAAACTTTGGAAGATGGATAATGAAGAAATAAAAAAAAAACTCACATCGAGTTGTTTCTGAACGTTCTTGGCTCGTTTCTTTGGCCGTCTAGAGGCCTTTGACCCGGTCATAGCAAAGAGATCCTCGTCAATTTCTTCTCTAGATAAAGAAATCGAGAACTTTTGTTTTTTCTCTTTCTTCTCATCCGGTTTGGGTTCGGTTACGTTCCTAGACCGCGTTGCTTCCGATCTATGAGTTTCGTTCTCCAGCGCCGAACCTCCGATCTTCGTCGCGCTCCCATTATAATTCGGAGGCTTGGCATTCGGCTTCCTTGGCCTCAGGTTCCAAGTCTTTGGAACCAATTCTTCAATGTATTCAGCAATCAAGCTCTGATCTGCTACATCCGCAACTTCATGAACAGGCTGGTTCTTCGCTTGAAAACGTATATAGATCTTCGATCTACATTCCGATGGATTAGCTTTCTCTTCGGAATCACAGTCAACTAAAACATCAGAACCATTGACGAATTTCCTCTCTGACTTCCCATTAAGGTTCTCTGAAGGAGCTTCACAAACCGGATTCGCCTTCCGGTTATTGTCTGACGCAGAATCAGTATCTCCACTTTGAGGAGATTTGTGAAAAGAATCGAAGAGTTTCCGAAGGCGGTGGTTGCTAGGGTGGTTCATGGCCCATTTGAGGTCATGTAATTGAAAATTATGAAGAGGCTGAGATTTCAAAGTCGAAGAAGAGGCCATTACAGTTTGGGTTTTGCTTTTGTTTGAGTTCTGTTTTCTTTCTGAGATGGAATGAGACACCATTGATCGACGGAACTTTGGAAATAATAAATCTCCCTTCTTCGTACTGAAACAAAATCAAAAGCAAAGCTATTCTTAAAAGAAAGAAATAAAGACTTCTTATGAAGAAGAGAGAAGAAAGGCGGTTTGGGATCCTACCGTTCTATTTGTATATTTACTTTACCGTTCTGGCTTTGAGTTTGGAACAAAGTAAGACTCCGACAACTTGAACTTTAAGTTTTAAGTATTATCTTCTCAATCACGTAATTTTAATTTAATGTGCCGATATATATTAAATCAAAATGACGTGCACTCAACCTCAATTCTCATATACAATTACGTATTTTTCATTCAATATTTAAATATAGATTAAATTTATATTAATTATTTTTTATTTTTTAATTAGTTTTGTAGACCTCATTTTCATCCGAGACCTATTTAGTATATATATTTTAATATAGTATAATTTTTAAAATACTTTTGAAAATATAATATATAGTTTTTTTAAAATAACGGTTGTTAAATATATATATAATATAGTTTTGAAAATACGATTTAAAAAATATATTATATAATTTTGAAAACAGTTTTTGAAAATATATATAATATATAGTTTTGAAAACGATTTTTGAAAATATATATATTATATAGTTTTGAAAATATATATAATATATAATTTTTGAAAACAATTTTTGAAAATATATATATTATATAGTTTTGAAAACATGTTAAAAATATATATATATATATATATAGTTTTTTTGAAAACATTTTCAAAAATATATATAATATATTATTTTGAAAACGTTTTTGAAATATTATTTTGAAAACATTTTTAAAAAATATATATAATATATAATTTTGAATTTTTTTTTGAAAACGTATAATATATAGTTTTTTTAAAAATGATTTTCGAAAATTATTATATTATTTATATTATTTTTTTTATTCTTTTTTCCTTATTCTTTTTTTAATTATTATTTTTCCTTTTTTCAGGGTACAAATAAGCACGGGTCAATCCAGAAAAGGTCCAAGCATGCGAGCCTGATCCAGCTCATAAGCAAAATAGGGTTGCAAAACCCTAGTCATAAAAAGCACCAACGTCGCACAAGAGGATACAAGTAGCGCGTGTGGCGGCCACGAGCTAACAACCAGCAGGATTTCCGATCGAACAACCAACAGGATTGAACAATCCCGGGTCTTCAACAATAACGTTTTTCATCCCAATTAAAATGGGGGACGGGGGTAAAACGACCCCCTAAGCTAACGGAGAATAGCCCCGATTGGGGGTTAAAAATACCTCACCGGGGGAACAATGGAGAGGCAACTGGAGTCGAGCACAACACCACAGCAAAAACATCAATCGAGCAACAACACAATGGAACCATATAGAGCAACCAACACAAATCGATCAACAAAAATACACGGAGAAAGCCGAGCAACCAAAAATCAAACCACAACAAAAACCACAAATATATAACCACACAGAAACGCAAAAATACCCTGCCACGTACGAAATACCAAAAGAAACAAGCACAAGAAGCCCCGATCTGGGCTCGAAAAAGAAGGAGCCACCGGAAAACGAAGAGTTTCGTCGGAAAGGTAAAAATCCGAAAGTTTAGACGTAGATCTACGTCGTTTATGGCTTTTTTAGGAGATTTGGATCTCGACTTTGGGATCGGGGAGTTGAGCGGAAGCATGTAGGTGAGTTTGGTTGAGAGCTTTTGGGAGAGAAATGATTTGTTTTTTTAATGAGGTTAAAATGATATTATTTTTTCGGTTTGAGGTATTTATAACCGAGGGACCACTATGTAATTAGCCAATAGTTAAATTATTTCTGCAGTCCCTCATATTTTGATGTGTAATTCATTTTGGTCACATGTTGCAATTTTGTCTCTGAATTTTCAATTTATTCAGTTTAATCGATGTTTACATTTCTTATATTTATGCAATTAAATCCTCCTAACCTTTTTTTTCTTACATCTAATTTTAGCATCAATTTGATCCATGAATTTCAATTTATTTGAATTTAGTCCTTAAAGTTTTTTTTATTTCTTTCTTTTTCTAATTTTTTTCTTTTTCTTATATTTAATTTAATATTTCTTTCTTTTATTTTTTATTTTTCCTTCATTTTAAAAATTAACATTTTTCACTCTTTTTATTATTATTTATTTGTTTATTATTTCCTTTAAAATTTAATTTTTTTCATTTTTTTTAAATATTTTTTCAAACTTTTTTCCCCTCTTTTATCTAATATTTATTTATTTTTATTTTACAATCTAACATTCTTTTTTTAGAGGTAATTTCATTCGATCAAAGTTAAATAATTCGAATCAAGTTTTTAAATTTCAATTTAAATTTCAATTTTCGCGATTAAGGCAACCGACAAATTAAAACGGTACCGAAAGGACAATTCAAGGGTGCTAATCCTTCCTTGACTGTAACCGACTCCCGAATCCGACATATTTCTGGTAAAATACAGATCATGTAAGATGGTGTCTGATCAACCTAAATATTTTCTAAATGATCGGTGGCGACTCTAACGTGTTCTATTTAAGTCAAAGCTCAATTTCGGGCCCATGCGAAAGACGGTTGCGACAAGTTTAATTATCATTGTTATAATATAATTTACAATAATAATAAGTTTTTTTAGATCTTTATTATTTTGAATGACATTATATATATTTTTATCATTATTTTGAGTAACGTGATATTTTATATTATTAATTTAAGTAACATAGTACATGAATATTATCATTTTAGATAAAATGTCATTATCATATTATTCAAGTGATGATATGATATAATTTCATCGTTCTATGTGGCGTAATATATGATATGTCAATAAATAATCATATATGAAAAATTTATGTTATCAACACTCGTTGATAGTTATTCAACCAATAATTTACGTATGATAAGAGGTTATTTTGACTTAAAACATAACATTATATGCTAAAATGATTCAAAAAAAAATATTAATGACTAAAGTGATTATTCAATCAAATGTTATGAGTGAATGTTATCATTATGTCAAATAAAAGTGAATTATTTTTAACGCATCACATTATTAAAGTAACGATAAATGTAATAAATCAATAACATAAATGACCAAAACAGAAATTTTTTTAAAATTGATGATAAAAATGAATAAAAGTAAAAGATAAGTGAACAGTCTTATAATTTACCAAGAAAGTAATGTATAAGTATTATCGTGCTGCCACTCGATAGTAAAGTGTTAAATCTGAGAAGCGGAGTATTAGCCTTAGCCTTATGCGTGGTGATGTTTACGGAGCTGGTTGCATGAGGGTTGCATGTGCTGACGTTGGTAATTGGTTAGCAAATTGTTGATTCATCCATATATTCTGTTTTAACAGCTGGTGTGTAGCGGGAAGGTTGTTAGGCGATTGAGAAGTCATTGTGCTTCTTTAAATATTGATGCAGGCCGACAAGAATGAAGAAGATGACAGTTTTGGTGCTTTGGAATCACGTTTCTTGAAGATTTGCTTATCATAAAGCCAAAGCTGCGGCCTCGGACGTTTCTTACGAGTGCAAAGGTTTAAGCTATCTAGATAAACCATGATAATTGTTGTAGATAAAAGCTATCTCCAGCAACAGCAGATATTGAGGGGTTTTAGTAGTATGGGGTGATTTGCCTTTAAAGATGAGTGTTTCCGAGGTCGATTTTAAAACGGCGGTCGGATATGTTGGAAAAGAGTTTAAGGTGGAGGCGGCGGTGCCGCCGTGGGAGACGCGTTTTAATCCTCAATTATATATATATATAATGCGTATGTAGAACGAAGGAACATGGAATGCACGTTCCTTTATTATTAATAAAATAAGAGACGTGGAATATCTAATGAGGGGTTTATTTTATAACGAAAATAACATGTTTTGAAAACTATAGTTTTTATTGGTTATTATGAATTACGGAAGATTAAACACTTATAAAATTGTTATTTTATAACGAAAATGATAATTCTAAAGCTTTACATTTAAATTTATAGTTAAAATTGGATTCAATGGTTGATTACGTGTTGAAAATATTAAAACACTCTCGTAACATCTAAAATTTGATACATTATTTTAAAGCATATATTGTTTCAATTCTTAAAAGAAATATTAATACAAATTTAAATTTAATTTATAAGCCTTTACAAATTTGTGAAGGAATACAAATCCCCTGCCCCTTAGTCAAATATTTTGACACGTGTTCCTTTCAATAAATTATTCTAAATTTTGTTTATTTTAATATTAAAGATTTGGTGTTTTTCTTTCTTTTCTTTATATTAAGTTACAATTAATATTTTGAAATCTATTTTAAGTTTTAATTAAAAGAATAATAAAAATAAAAAAATAAGCAAAAATTAAATCAAATGATCGTAACATTTTTATAATGCATATATATTTTAAATATAATACCTTTTGTTTATATTAATTTTATTTTATTTGATGTTAGTTATAATCTATTTTTTTTTATAAATTTGAAGTGAATAAAAGATAGTATATGTTTAAAGACTTTCGGTCATTTGATAATGAACGTTCATACTACTGTATAAGTGGCGTTCGAACTTGGAACCTTAAAGAACAACAACAATTTTTTAATCAATGAATGAAGTCACTTGGTTCATACTAATTATAATATGTTATATGAAAAGATTTTAAGTTTCAATTGTATAAGTATTTAAAAAATAATAGAATGTATTAAAAATCAAATATAATGATAGTTGTATGACATACACAAGATAAATAAAATATCTTTTATTATAATCACAAAGAAAAAATATATAAGATTTTGTTATTGTAATAGTAAAAAATTTATTTTATTTTATCTTGTACGTGATATATAAATTATAAAAAAATACTATCATTATATTTGGTTTTTTATTAACTTTTCAATACTTATACAATTGCAACTTAAAAAACTTCATATAAACTATAAAAATATTACGATCACTTTATTTTGATTTTATTTATTGTTGTTATTAGCTGACCCTTATTTCCATATATAATGGGGGTAAGAGAGAGGTAGGATAATAGGCTGCACCTAACGCCAGGTTAAGAACAGCTTTCGTAGGAGACATACGAATTATGAAATACCCTCCGTGGGACTCGATCCCACAACCCCAAGATTAAGAACCTTGTGCTCTACCAACTGAGCTGGATGGTCATTTTCTTATTGTTGTTATTAATTTATATAATTAAAGCTTAAAATAATTTTCAAATATTACTTGTAATTTAATACAAAAAGGAAATAAAAACATCAATTCTTTAATACTAAAACAAACAAAATACAATTTATTGAAAAGAACACGTGTCAGAATATTATACTAAGAAGCAAGAATAGGGACACAAAAGAGGGGCAGGGGAATTATGTTCTCTGTGAAGGATGTTATCTTATTACAAAAAGTTGATGAGATGACATCCAAATGAGTAAGGAGACCATTTTGTTAATTATATTAATAAAATAATATTGTTTTAAATTTTAAAAGAATGGTATTAAGAAGTTTTGTGAAGGATGTCTTTTTTATCACAAAATTAATGAGATAGCACCAAATGAGTTATTACATTAACTATCGTGATAATAATAGTCTTAATTTATTTGTTCAACAAAATATTGTCTTAATTTATTTTTAAAAATTATGATGCATATTATAAAAAATGAATGAAACATGGAAGGAATATTACTGATAATAGTAATAATAATTAATGACTTAAAAATTGGATAAAGAAAAACATGTTAAAAATTAGTTAGACTAAATTGAAAGAAACAAAACTTACGGGTAAAAAATGTGATTAATCAGTAAAAGATAAAACTAAAGGAAGATAGAAATTTCCATAATAATAAATTCGGCTTCTAAATTCTTTTTTGAAAAATTCCATCTTATCAAATGAGATAACGGTCGATTAAATTAGCATCGCTCGAGAATCAAATTCTAGTTACTAATAAATGAAGGGCAGCAGAAGGAATCAATCAATTTATTAATTAAAATATGAACCAATCAACGATTAATCCACATATTATATATATTCCAACTACCTAAACGAGACGATAACGAAACAATAATAATTAAAATTTAAAACCCAACATGTGCATATTTGTTTATTTATTATTACAAAGGTTAAACACAATTAATAATAAATGAAACACTTTAAAAACGTGATAAATCTCAACACAGAGAAGCTTCCCACGAAGAAAAGCAGGAACAATAATAATAGTTTAATACCAAGTCCCAAAGTATATATAACCTCGAGCTACTCATCCAGTTTCAGTTTAATTCCACACCTCGCAATCGTGGTCTCAGCTTTATCTTCCAGATCAAGCAAATATGTACTGTGAAACGAATTCAGAATTTAATCTCGGCTTCTTGGACTCGGTCCGTCGGCATCTTTTGGAAGATGATGATTCTGGGACTCAAATTCCAGCTAAGTTTCCCGAAAACGTTGAAAATATTCAAGTTCCGATTCCATCGGATCAGATGGATTTTTCCAGTACTGATGCCGTTGCTATCAATGTTGATCAGTGGATAACGTTTGATCAATTATTTGACACGCCGGAGTCTGCCGCTGTTGATGTTCCAGTTCCCAACTGTGAATTGACTCCCGGGCCGATGACTGCAATTCACATGCAGCCAAAGAAGTTCCGTTATAAGGGTGTAAGGAGAAGGCCATGGGGGACGTACGCAGCAGAGATAAGGGATCCTAAGAGAATTGGTGCCCGGATCTGGCTTGGTACTTACGAGACTCCGGAAGATGCTGCACTGGCTTATGACAAAGCAGCTTTTAAAATGTGTGGCGCAAAAGCCAAGCTGAATTTTCCGCATCTCGTCGGCTCAGCTCAGGTGGAGCCAGTGAGGTTGGGCACTAACAAGCGAAGGTCTCTGGAACCTGGCTCGTCTTGGTCATCAGCTGAGTCACCTTTCTCTAGAACTCCAAAGTAGAAACGGAGGATTAGCTAGATTAATTCGATATTTGAAACTGGGTTAGGAAGAGAGTTAGAACTAATATCAATCAATGTCAACTGAATTTCGACGGGTCATCCGTTAATGGAAAGATCATTTGAATTGCAAAACTTTATTCAATATTGGTAAAGATTTTAGCTCCCTTTTACTTCTGTATTTATTAAAGGATTCTTCATGGTGTATCTAACTACTTGAAATGTTTCAGCCACACCACCAGCAGATCAGGTGCTGTTCTTCCAAACTCAGAAAGGAATAAACAAAGGGTTCAATACAAGTTGGTGTAATTCTAAAATTTTAAAGCAACAATCACAAAAGCAGGCATGCAGCACAGTATCCCTTCCCAAAAGCAGATTCATCTGTAGCTGAGATGTTTTGAACTAAAATCCCACTATTCAACTAAACATTGGTCTAATCGGTTGCTTTTCTATATCTTCACGATCTTGGATGCCGTCTCCTGTATTATTCACACCATTAGACATCAGTGAAATGCAGTTAGTTCAAGGAATAGACTCTGATCCAACTTTTCTCAATCCAATTAAGAAGCATAATTTTTAGAAGTCGAAATAACCAAATATTTAGTGAATTCCAGATGGTATTGAAATAGGTATCAATATCAGGCCACTGATTTCTAAGAACATAAAACCATTGGACGCCATGAAAACCACATTGACTCTTCAGTAAACAAAAAGAGAGAGAAAGGGAGAAAGAGAACATGTTTAAGGATATATAATGGAAGTTGAAAAAAGGGAAGGAAATACCTCTTTGGTCGGCTTCGGTCTTCTTCATAGTCCATCACTCCACCAGGTTCAAAGTAGATCTCTTCGATCCCTCGGAAGTCAACTTCAGCCTGCTTACAGTTGGTAACTTCTGCTACAATGTAAGTAAGCCACATCGACCAACATATCTTGATATATATATATTTTTTGAAGCAACATATCTTGATATTGATAGAGTGAAGTCGTGGCATGCTAAATAAAGATCCTGTTAACCTCCTTTGCATCTTAACTAGAAAGTTTCAGCTTTAAGCTCCAATGTTATTTGTTTGAGCATTTTTGCAAGAGTTAAAGGACTCATTCCGACCATCACCCCCCCGGCCGCAGAAAAAAAAAATTATATCTTAAAAGTGTGAATGTACATCAACAACTACCATAGATGTGATTAGTTTTGCATTCTTCAATGTTTATAAAATTAGTTTAAAAACTAAAAGACAAAGAGTAATGAGAACACTTTCAGCCCAAATTTACGTTCTCATGTTTTTTCAATGGTTCGATGCCGAATAATAGGAAAAGGGCAATCGATATAAAAGGCAAGCCAGATTCAACTGACCTTGGCAGAGATGGACTTCTTTAGTTCTTCCACCTTATCTTCAACCTCCTTTCGATGTTTTTTGTCCAACTCACTCATATTATCCACCCATTTTATCTTATCTTGAATTGAGATGAGTAAGTTGTCCGATGTTCCCAACCTAGGTTTAAAATTCAAATCCATAGGCAGATTTATTAATACTATATATATATATATATATATATATATATATATATATATATATATATATATGCTGATTTATCAAATTCAACTTTGTATTCTGTCAGGTCTACTTGGACTAATTAGCTCTAATGAACAAATCGAAAATTTAATAGAAAATCACACAGTAGCACTATAACTGCAGTATGGACAGAGGACTTAATGAAATGCTCTATTTGAACCAGAGATGTTACCAGTTCGACAGTGTTTCTATCATACTCCCAAGTTGTCCTGGCCTCAAATCCCTCCCAGTAGCAAATTGGATCTTCCAGAACAAATATTAAAGATTTAATCAGCTAAAAAAATAAATGTAAAGGAAAATTCTTGAGAGGAAAGGACAGTAAACTTATACCTCAAAACATCTTCGCAGCTGATCCAGCTTTCCTCTGACTATACCCTAACAAAAAGGTTGGGAAAAATGAACAAAAATCAGCACACTTTCAGTATATTTGCACCTCTGGTAGAACTCACTTCCCTTAAAATTCAACAAAACATCCAATGGGAAGACAAGTACCCCGCCTTCCCCTTCTTTCTCAAACCTTTTTGAAAGCAGAGCCAGAGTAAGACCTAAGGTATTGGGTTTGACCACCAAAGGAAAGTTCAAATAGCTGTAGAAATAACTGTGAACAATGCAGGGCCACTCTAAAAGTTAACCGTCCCAAAAAAAACAAATATGAATGCAGAAACAACTGCAAAGTTCTATCACATGCAACACATTGCATAAAATCATCCATTGAAAAACCAAAATATCATGTTCCCAGGGCCTTTCAAGGCCGTTCAAGTAGCTAAAGCGTGTCATAATGGAGCAAATCCTAGGATAAAAATTAATAGAGAATCAAGCCGGGAGTCTACCCACCGCATACATGCACTCATTGATAAGAAAATCTTCAAGTTCACGAACATTGGTGACATCTAACTCCAGCATTAGTTGATCATATGGTAATACCTGGTCAAGATATTTAAATGGTAAATGAACTTGATGCAACCAACATTTACAACCTATAGTGCCATTGTCAGACAAAGGGTATATCCATTTCAGTTAGAAAGTGGAATAAAACAATTCAGAAAGGCATTAAAATTTTTCAAGAGATTCTAAAGACTTGGTTTCTTCACGTTACGAAGTCAAAGTGGCACGTTCAATGAATATCAAAATAACTATAACCACTACAATGGAACGAGGCTGGCAACTATAGCATATTTAGATGATCAAATGCCCTCATAACTCAACTACAATACCTTGTTCGTCTCAGCAAGTGTAAGGACAGTGAGTTGCTTTAACTTGAGAACTTGATCAGGGACCAGTTGAGGAAGGCTGCCACTATTGCCTAATCAAATAGTTTAAGCAGCCAGAGTTGGTCACATTATGATGTGAATAATAACTATAGCAACAATCAAAGACAGAAATAATCAAGTGGATTAATTAAGTGAAGGATAACATTCAGAAGAGTAAAACTGGTAATCTTGAAGAGATTTACACGGTAGTGACAAATGTTAACTACAAATGATCTTCAAATTATCTCGAATAGAAAAAATACGGGTACAAGTGAAACAAGTGTATTGAAAACATTACAAACTTGTCACAAACAATAAAACACAGATTTTCCAGCTTACTCTTGTAATCGCTCCATGTGCCATGGGCAAACAACCGAAGCACCTCCAGGTACTCCGAGTTTTCAGTTCCGTCAAGCTGCAAAGGTATATAGGTTTCTTATAAATTACAAGTAAACTAAAGCATCAAACCGAAAGTGAAACAATGGATAAAACTAAAACATCAGACTATATTGCCAGAAAAAGAAACAGGAAAAAATGTTATTAAGCTATGTGCAGCAAAAAATAACTGATGACGGCTTTTATTTCTCAGATTGAGGAAAGTAGGGGAAAGAAAATAAAAGAAACTGATATCGGAATAGGTCTTTACCTCAGCGAAGGTGGGCACGGCAAGAATCTCGGAGAAGGCGAAGAGTGAAGGATGAGACGTTGCTTCGACGATAACGGAAACAAGGGCCGTCCCCTTCTGAGCCGACGCTTGCTTAACAAAGTGATCGATGAACTCGGCTTGCTTTTGCTCAATATCCATCTTAAAAACTCGAACCCCCGACCACAAACCAGGAGGGGAAAAAAGAAAAAGGAAATAATTTGGAGAATGTTACTGAAAACAAAAAAAAAACACGGAGAGAGAAGCTTTCAGGAAAATAAAGAAAGCAAGTTAGGGTTTTGGCGTTGGAGACGACGGAAAAAATTTAGGTATGAAAATAAAAACACTGAAAATTTAGGAACTCAATAAGGCAGCCTGAGGAGCTCCTCAATACACACATTCCGATTTAACCAAATTTCTGGGAATTTTACGGTTTTATAGTTTCTGTGAGAATGAAAATGGGGAATCTGCTACAAATTTTTCTTTTTGCACCAACAGGAATTTGCTATCATTTTTCTTTAAAAATATAATGAATTATTAAAAAAAAAAGTAAATTAAATAATATATATTTAGAAAAAAGTATAATTATAAAATTTTTCATAATTTTACTCACTTTATTTAGAAATATATAAAAATATAAAAATGATATTATTAAAAAACTAATTATAATTAAAATTATATATTTTTAATTGAATTTGTATCTAATTAAAAATTTATAAATCAAATAATATATGAATTAAACAAAAAAATTATTTTTAAATACCGTTTATTTATAACCCATTAAGTGACTTTAATTAAATATAATATTATTCTCTCTTAAAATTTTAAATTTAACCAGCTGTGTTGCAGTATTATGTTATCAATAATCAATTTTTTAAATAAATATTATATTAAATTACCTTAAACAATTTAAAATTTGTGTTTGATTATTACATATTAATTAATATTCTGCTGATTAATGTAAAGCTTTATAGAATTCGTCAAATTGGAACATGCATTTATTTTAGCAATCAAATATATTTTTAAATTTCTATTCGTTTGAATTGTAAAATAAACATTTTTCAATGTTTCTTTAATATTTTAGAATGTATTTGATAAAATATTTATTTTTGATAATAATTTTAGATGAATAAAAATAATATTTATTTAAAAATTTAATTATTTGATAATATATGAGATATTTTAATTTAAAATCTCAAAAAAAATCTCTCAATTACTGAAATTATTTAAAATTTTATATACATCGTATTCGGCTATGTAGCAGTACTAGTGTTGGTGTCGTTGTGAAGCGGGCCCCTTTGACTGTGTAGTTTGGGCTTAAGACTTCGGTGACTTGCTTATGCGTTCTTATTTATTCCCGAGTTCGAATGGATTTGATCCAAAAAATTCTAAAAATTAAAATATATTCGATATTTGTGATAAAATAAATTCGGTTATAACAAATCGAACTTTTATAAGAAAAAGTCATCGAGTAACCTTCAATCGTTAAATTTATAATACAACGTAATTTAATTTAATGTCAATCTAGTCATTTCATCCAATAAAGTTAATGGTTTTAGCTGGTAAAGAAACAACC